GCCAGTAAAACCGCTTTTCGCATTATTAACCTCATCAAACTACCTTTCCCACGTATAATCAAAGAGGACTTCCCTTTCCTCTAAGGAACATACATACGGCCGCTTTTAGAATATGACAGCCAAATTGCACATTCTGGCCTCATTCGCGACCGTGATTCACTAGAACGTGTGCAGCGAAGGGCCACGAAACTAGTACATGGCTTGTCAGAAATCCCTTATGCTACCCGAATACAACGGCTAAATCTATACCCTCTAGATATACGACGTATCAGAGGGGATCTCTTCCTTCTATATCACCTCTTCACGTCAGGCCAAGTTGACCGTTTCTTCACACGCTCTAGCCTGGAACACTTAAGGGGACACCCAAGAAAACTCTTCAAAAACCGGCCCAGAACCTTCATCCGCTCCAACTTCTTCACGTACAGGGTCATCTCAGAATGGAACCAACTTCCACTAGAGATTGTGAACTCCTCCTCCAAAAATGTCTTCAAAATCCTGCTAGACTCACACCATCTCCTGATCTAATTGGCCTCCATCTTCTAAAGGAACCCCACATATTATCCCGCTTATCCCTGTTACTACTCCTTTCCCATCCTCACTCCCCTCTAGATTTTTTTCCCGATGCATGCACCCTTAACCCAGCGGCACCATATTGGATCCAGCTCCCGTTTCCGTCAACATCCCTTTCAGCTCGTGAACCGAACTGCAGAAAAGAAGACAAATCCGGAACCACGAATATTGGGAGCAAGCCTCGAACCCGAGTACCACTTCAAGAATTCAAGACTCTAACCAATGAGGCGGGTAGATATTCTTGCTTGTTTTCCTCCCTTTGAGTATACCCGCAAAGAGTCAACGTTCTGGTAACGGGGTTAAATTGAGAGGATCACAAACACCTAATCAACTGTACGCAGTGTTGGAAGCTACTACCATCCGCCTACAACACAACGAACTGGACGCTCGATTAGCAAGCGCCATATTCATCCTAAGAAGACCGAACTGAACTGAATTGAATTTGTCTTTACTGACCTTGAAAAGCGTCATCTTTCAATTTTTCAATGAACGTTCGAGGATGCGGTTCCAATCTGTCATCATTGATCCTCGAAAGGTTTTACCCAGCAGGCACTCAGTTTTCATTAGGGGACTTCCAGGAACAGTGCAAATAGATGATGTGAAGTAATTTTCTTTGTGATTCGTTCAGTTTTCAAGGGAATTTTTTTCGAAAGAGACAGATGGGAAGTGCAAAGTTGATTTTTTCAGTTATTCTGATGACAAAGAATTATTGTTCGTCGCTATTCGTTTTGATTCACATCAATTAGCTAAGAAAATGATCATGAAGTGAGTTGCAATCCGGTTTCTTATAATTTTGTACAGGTATAATGATGTCAAACTTTTTGGACATAAGGTTGATGCTACTTGGTTCAGAGACATAAGGAAGGCCAGGAAGAAAGGTAGCTTCAATTTATCGTTTTTCACCTGAAATAGTTATTGAGAATGAAGAAAAGTACCATGACCTTTTGGTCAATTTTGATAACAGGCGGCGTCCTTTTGGAAGATGCGGTAAGTATATTTTTAAGCTAATCTCTAAAAAGAAAATTTTAAGTATTTAGAAGACCACCCATGGGAATGCGAAGATTTGGACTCCCACCGCCGAGTAGATATTACAGACCACCCTTTGCGAGGCAACGAGTTTCGTCAAGCAATTCTGGTTCTTCTGATTCACACGGCTCTGACTCCGAAGGTAGTCACAGGTTAGTTTTATATCGAGCCTTTTCACTTTTTCACTTAAGACTAAAAGTTTTTTCCACAAGGATTTTTATTTCAATTGTTCGAACAGAGTGGTACATTCTTGAATGGACGAATATCCGGTTGAAATTACTGACAGTTCAGTGTAGTATCTGTGAATATCACAAAATTAACCTAAGTAGCTCAATTTGAAACTGTAAAAGGTTTTAACTCAGCATCAACAATTGCTTTAAAGTACTATATTATTTCTTTGTAGATGGTACGCTATTTTTGTTGGATAAGATATCATTCTCATGGTGATGTCAAATTGTTTTGAAGTCTGTGATAACAGCTATTTAAGGTTTTTTGGGTTAACAGGACTATCACGGGTTTAATATTTGACTATGTGATTATTCGTGCATGAATTGTACGAAGACAATAGTAAAACTATATCTTCATATTGCAGAACGCTGTAACTTCAACTAGAATAATATTAAAGGCTGAATATGTCACTATATCACTGTAGGTGGTATCGTTTAGTCTGCAGCAAATTTATTAGATGATTACCAATTTTTCCACAGGACTAAATGCTAGAGGAATAATCATTAGATCACATTTTCTAAACTTCATCCGTCCATCTATGTACATTTGTCTGTACATTTTACCGGCCTGGATAGAAAAAATTTATACTACCGTTATAATCTTGATAGTGCGTTAAGCAGGTAGATTATATCTACATGTATAACAAAGAAAAAAACCGAACTTCATTTACTCTATCTTCTAGCATACTTTTGGAAAATCAACAAGGTGGTTAAAAACTAGTAGAAAAGAGGTCCAGTTCTATTTGGGCACTATTTAAATGTACATCGTTACTAAACATCTATTTCTAGGCTTTCTTCCCTAATCAGACTTATCACTGATGCCTTTAACTTTCCAGAAGACACGCCTTGGAAACAAATATTTTGTATTCCACAATAAGAAGCAAAAATAATATACATTATTCGTGGAGTTATAAAGTTTGAATTGGAACAATTCCCAAATTGAATGACACGTTTTGTTGCCTAATACAATTAAGAACATTCTTTGTCGGTATTAGACCTATTTAAATGTGAGATGGATTCACCAAAGCTACTTTTCTCTTTCAAATATCTCTTAAACTACAGTTTATTTACGTTTTGTTAGGCATCACAGGCAGAGTAATTTTAACCGGAAGTTGACCGAGAATCGTTTATAAAATCTTAAATTTGCAATTCACAATTCCCCGTTTTGCTTTTCTTCATGTATCCTATGCACTGATGAATCCCTCAAGCTTTTATTTATTAAGCACTCAAGTTTTCAAAGTCACAATCGTGTTTTTATTGTTATCAGCAATTCACTCGAAGATTAAGCCACCAAAGAGTCATCAAAAATCTTTAACTTCCAACATGTTCTGTTTGTTAGAAGAAACCTGCACCAAAGCTAATATGTTTCCATCATTTCTGTTACACACACTGGTCATTTAGCATACCATGTGCAAATCAAATAAACCCTATCGAAACAGCAATTTCTTGTGCAAAATTTGAAGCAATACTGTTAAACCACTGTCAGTAAAACAATTTCATTCTTTCTTGTAGAGGCAGAAGATGCAGGCGAAGGGGGTGAGTGTATTACCCTATTTTTATTACAAACTGAATAATTTGGTTTTTCCACCGACGCTCTTATTGTGCGCAATAATCTTCGGTATATGATCTTCCCCGGTTGCACAGACTGATAATAAAAGCTAACTGGATCTCCCCCGATGAGTATTTCTTTGAAACTTCGGTTTGGTTTTCATAGAGCATTTATATTTGATTTTTATATTACCATTTCGGTCCTTTTTGCTGATATTCTGTCTTATATAAATCGTCACCCGTAAGTGACAACATAAAATGCAGTTAAATAGGTAAATATTGTAAATTAGCCCAGTTGGTTTTACAGGCATCAAAAAAAGGATTCAAAACTATTCTAGCTATTGGCTTAGGAAACTAACTTTTGATAGTATAGCGCTGGGGTGTGGATTTTGGACTAAACGACGGTTTTTCTAGCACTATTAGAGACACGCATCGTTGGCAAACCGCAATACGGAAAAAACTGATTTTCAGAGATCTTTGTTTATGTCATTACTTTTGAGAACGTAAAATTGCTTTTTTGGTGTATTTATATTTTTCACTGTTTTTAAAATTTGATCCAAGTTTATCGTCGAAAACTTTTCTCAGCCAGAAGTACCATGTATAAAATCATGAACGGTTTCACATTCCTTATTATAAATCTAATAAAAACTTCGTTTTATTGTATGACTAGAAGTGTTTATCAAAGACTTTTGCGATTTACTTACCTGTTATTTCTGTGATTTATTTTAGGCGTAGTCCCAGTTCACACAAAAGACGACATCGGTCACGGCGGAGTCACCCAGTTGGTCAGAGTGCTTCTGGAAGAGGACGCAGCTCCTCCTCCTCCTCATCCTCTTCTTCCCTTTCTTCTTCATCTTCTTTGTCCTCATCCTCTCGATCAAACCGGACTGTAGAAAAGAAATCTAATTATCCGTATCATATGTCAGAAACAGAAAAGGAAGTTCTTCAGGTTGCCCGTAAGTGCATTTCATCGCATTTCAATCTTTATCATGAATCTGTTCTACTTTATTGAATCTTGTCATGATCACGTTTGCTTTTTTAATTTTCCTGTCTCTTTACAACTCAAAATACTTAATTATCTTTGTATGCTAGGAAAAAGTTCTCTGAAGTAAAAAAAAAACGGAAATGAGATAGATGAAAATCTGTCTGACTCAGTTGAAACCGTTTACACATAATTGACGTACAACATTCCCCGATTATTATCAACGCGTGACTGAATTTTTCCCTGGGATTTGTTTCATCCGCGCAGCTCATACACACACATACAAAGTGCCACTTGCACTCACTCAGAGGAGGACAGATCAATTAAAGCATTACTAAACGCGGTCACTGTTGCTCCTGTGACCGAAATGTTCTTCTTGATTCCCAATCTGCATTGCATAGAGCATAAACTGTTAAGTTTATGCAAAATTGCTGTTAAAAATTAATTTTATGCGTATTATTGTTTCATCCTATGAATGTAATGACTGTCAAATAACTGATATTAACGGGGTTAGGGTGCCTGGAATGAAATATCAAATTAGCAGATCAAGAACCTATTTTGAACCTTTTGAAGCGGTTGTGTTTTGTAATTGATGTATCAATTGTTTTTCAGTTAGCATTTTTTCATTGAAGAATCCTTCTAAATAATATTTACCTCGTTTGATTGATGGATGCATTAATATATATATATATATTGGCTAGATAAATAAGTTCGTCTTAAAAGTGAATCTCAGACGGAATTCTTAATTCAACATATTTTCTTTTTTCTACTATATTTTCATCAAATCAGATTTATCATAATACTAATAATAATACCAAATGAATATGGTATATGTTATTAGTTTGATCACGTAAAGGGGAATTGAGGCTTGTGAGAAGTGTTCTATTGGCCATGAAAGACTAAACATGTTGATTGGGGTTGTGCAATCTCAAAACCCAATTCACGGATAGCATTCAATGATGTAAACATCTACTTTACCATCGGTACACATCTAACAGTGACTTCTATAAGCTTACTTATGTATTGATTAGGTGCAGAGCAATACGATTTTTTTTTAAATCATTTACAGCAGCATAATTTTACAAAGTTTTGCTTTCGACTATGTTTTACGTTATGCGCTCCTTGAGAATCAGACTCATTCCAGTTTTCAAGCATTGCATATTTCACATCAAGAGTTTCAGACGATTGATTTACAAGAGGATTAAAATCATATAAATCAAAATCAGCACTAGACAAAACTCCGCCTGTGGCTGAGTCACAAAGTGCTTCTAATTGCGGTAACGTGAGCAAACATGGAAAGGTGATATATATTGTGGAAAAGAAAATTTTTTCTGATTCTGAGATTGCAGTATTTAAATTGATTTTGAGCTTAGCAACAGTCAAAGCGGTTCTCGTGACTAGTAACACTGGTAGACAACCACAAAAAATGAGTTTCAGTCAGTAAACGTCTACCCACAGGATAATAGAGACGCAGCATTTGCATGCATTAACTCACCTTGTCTACAACTTCATAAAAACAAAAAATGAACTTTAGTGTACTGCATCGTAAATTAATCACCGAGCTCAACCCCGCAGGATTAGCTAATGATAATTTATAAATTATGCTAAAGTGATATAGATTTCATACTGCGTGAATCGTGAATCCGTCTTTTCACCAGCTGTTATGTACTGACTGTTGCTGAGACTGCTATCGCACAACCAACTTTCGAGCCGATGAAGAGAACACAATTAAAATGGTACAGGACAGTAGATTAGAAAAAATCGTGCCTTTCTTCTTTTATTACGGGTTAGCTTTCGTTCTATTTATTGCCTCCGGTGCTGTCTGAACGTTCAGTATAATTGACTAATCAGAAACGTCGGACCGTCCGACCGAATACATTGGCTGATCATTTCGGCCCGGAGGCTCACCCAGTTGCGCCTTTTTCTTTTGGCTATTTTCGCCAAAAGTATGAATTCTTCGACCGGGTATTTATTTTGAATTTAACCTTCCTGACACCAGCTCTCTGTCCCAGGATATCACCTCGACATGTATTCAAAACGAACGTATATACCACGAGTGTGGTAATATCCTAGATACCCCCTAAAAATGGTCCGATTCCGAAGGGGTCAATACGATTTGTTTTTTATTTTTTTAAACTAATTAAAAATTACAGGTTAGTTCCACCATAGATTATTTAGAACATAAAAATCAGAAGGTGAAAAATTGTTTTCAAATGATTCATATCATTGTGCCCGTACAGATTTTCATTTGGGATGGGGAGACGGTGGAGGGGTGAGGTAAAAGCCCTATGTGTCTGTGTTCAGGTGAAATTGATTGTGATTGGAGAGTTGGTGTTGTTGGTGTTGTTGGTGTTGATGCTCCGTTTAGGGCCAGGCTAAGTGGAGAGCTTGAACCAGTCGCTTTTGTGCAAAAAGCCGAAAGCCCATTACCTCAGCGGTGGCTAGTGTGTGTAACCTCATTGCCTTAGAGGGATTGAGGGTACGCGATAGATTACGTCAAATGCGAATTCTGGTCTAATTCGATGGCCTGTATCTACTAGATGACTGAGAATGACATTTTCCATGTTCCGTGTGCTTCCTTGTCTTAATCAATGTGGGCGGTGTTCCTTCATCCGTTGGGATGGTTGCCTCGCCGTGCTGCCGATCTACGTTGCAATACAAAAGAACTGTAAAGAGCAGATAACCGGAGAAGCGTCGGCAGCCTATCTTTGTGACTGGTTTCGATTTCGGGCGAGCCTGTGAACACACGATAATCGAGCCGCGTTGTAGATCCGCTCCACTGCACGCGTGAGACGTTAGTTCAAGAGGTCTGATATATAGTATCTCCCTGAAAAGGTAGACGGATGAATAATTACTTCTTCTCAGCCTAATGAACCTGATTGGATTGTGACCTTTCCTAAATGATAATCAATGGCTGGAAACCAAATGTAATAAAACTGATATCTCGACCTTGTCATTTTGAAATATGGCTGATCTGACGTTCCGCAAATACTGATGCACTTGAATGAAAATGTAACCAAAATGAATCTCGCGATATCGATTGGTCGACGGATTTCAAATCCGGTCGAATTGTAATCCGTCATCGACTAAATTTACTCAATCAGCACGTGACACTATCAATGATGGTGTACCCTTGTACCTGTGTTGAACCACTGTTTGGATCCCGTTTCAATTTCCTGAAAGTCTACATATGAGCCCCCTTGTGAGAATTAAATAGTTTTTACGAATATGAAAATGAATAGAATTAGAAGGGAACCATTTTGGTGTTTTAATTTGTTCAACTTTATCAACTGTTACCATTAGCATGACAGAATTGTGGATCAGAGAAAAGTTTAAAAATAGTAACCTGTATAAAGTAGTTGTTCAGTTATTTTTTTCAGTAACCTTTGAGTTGTTCACCTTACAAAATGCCTCATCCGCCCCCCTTGACCGATAAAATGTTTGCGTCACCATAATGAACGATAGTGCTATCTCAGCAACTTTCTGTCCGTTTCTTCTGATGTCTATTCCTCTTGGCTCATCTCTCTCTATCGTGCGCGCTGGCAATTTCTTCTTCCATTTTTATTCAGTGGGAGCCTGTTCTCCACCTCCGGAAGGTAGTCCAAACAAAACGGAACGCTTGCCGACAATGGGACTTCAATCTTCCAGATCGCCTGTAGAGTCTGGCACGCCCATACATCGTGATTTTACACGACAGCCGGTGGAAAAAGCGAGTACAGTGGAATCTACCCAACCGGTATCTGGCACAGTTAGCCCCGCCGTTTCACCGAAAAAGAAACGATCAAAAAAATTGAAAAAACATGGTCGAGGTCATCGTCATGGGAAACGCAAACGACGTGATAAGGAGCTTGTAGCCTATCTGTCGGGATCCGAAAGTCCGGAAGTTGAACAGGAACGGTCTTCTTTGCGTCACGGTTATGATCAACAGCAGTCACAGTCACAACAACAACAACAACAACAACAACAGCAAGAGCAACAGTTGACGGAATCAGAAAAGGAACGGATCCCCATCACTGGAGGTTGGAAATCTCCGGAACCACGGAATCAGATAGTCTCAGAAAGATTGACATTCAATCTGAATGAGAGTGATATACCAACTAACAATCACTTTGAAGAGACCGAGATCACTATGATCGAACTGGAGGAAGGCGAAGAGGTAGACGATGAACAGCCAGTTGACAATGCGAGCAAGGAGTCAAAGAATGAAGATGAACAACGTGGTGAAACAACAATAACACAAGAGGAAGATGAAAATCGTACCATGGAGACCGATACCGGACAGATTTCATTGGAGTATGCACTATTAGCGTACAATTTAGTTTTTATACTAATAGGCAGTGTCTGAATGTGTGTTTGTGTGTGAATGTGAAAGAGATTACAGTGAATGATAGTTTTTACACGCTAATCATGTTTCTGATCGCGTTGATTTGTGGTTATTGGATGTGGACTCCAAACATTTCAATGCATTACATTGGGTGTTTCAGTTTCAGTTTGTACAACCATTAACCAACAACTTTTGTGCACCGGTTTAGGTTGTTGTTGTTTTTTGGCTACCCATTTGGATGAAGCAGTAGGAAAAAGACAAGAAGGTTGAAAGAGTAGAGTAAAAGAGAAAACGGCGAATTTCATTGGACTGATGTTACACATTGTACCAGGTATTAACTTAGCCACTCCTGAATTTTCTACACCCACTACCGATCCCGACAGAACATTCCGTGCAGTGGTAGCCTATTTTCTGACATGCGTAACACATGCCCCGACCAACGTTATCTATGGAGATCAACCACTTGCTCTAGTGGACGACCGCGGGTACTTAGAACTCTACGCCTAACCTCATCATTGCTCTTCAGGCTGCCCCACCAGATTCGTGCAATGCTGCGTAGACAGCGGTGTTCAAACACTGACAGCTTATCTTTATCCTGTTTTCTTAATAGCCAAATTTCTGCGCCGTATGGTAGACCTAATCGAACTGCCGCGGCATACACCCAACCCTTTACAGACAGCCGGATGTCGCGACGGCGCCACAAATGTCTCAAGTTGGCAAATGCCAATCGAGCTTTCTGTATGCGCACCGACACTTCATCTGTGATGCGGCTGTCAGGTGAGACGTTGCTGTCCAAATAACGAAACTTATCCACTTGCTCTATTACTTCCCTAGTTAGAGTGAGGCTGGGTGCTGGGCCAATCAAATCTTTTAACAACGTTTTACACTTTGAAGGTGCAAAACGCATGCCGAACATGGCTTCACTAGCACTCAAACTATGCAGAAAAGCCTGCAACTTACCTGCATCTTCGCTTAGCAGCACAGTGTCGTCTGCATACTCCAGATCACAGTTTGCCACCTGGAAGCAAATCGATATCGATATCCTCGCACGAGGATAGGGCTTTTTCAAGAATTAAGTCTATAACAAAGTTGAATAGAAAGAGAGAAAAGGCAATCCTAACGGACACTACTTTCCGTGGTGAACTCGAGCGAAAAAGTGCCATATGAAGTGCGTATGAAGAGGAATACGGAATATTATCACATGAATAAAAATTTCATGAGCAATGTGGTTATTCAGTTTTATTTACTGACATGTTGATAAATTGGTTAGGTCTTGGTCAGTTTCCCAATCGTGGTGGCCCGGATCAGTTTGATCCATGCTTGGACAGATACATCCAGTGATAGGGTTGACTGTAGTGCTTCTCCTGTTCCCCTACTTTCGCCTCACTGTCGGACAAAGACGCTCACACCCACTCGCAGACGCACATTCTTCAGTTCATCTCAGTGCCCAGGCCGGTGACGGCAGCTTGTCAGATCGTCCATTTTTCTGCACTGGTGAGCTCCAAGGATCTCTCGGTGCTGCGACAATCGGATGAAAGGATTCATCTTCAATGTGATACACGTAGGGGGGTACCCCACTCTGTGGGTGTTTGTGCAGTGCTGTATTGCACAGTGGCCCCTTCAATGGGAGAGTCACACACCAAGCTCATAAGGATGAAAGAGACTAGGTCTGCAAGGACAATCTAGGATTTGGTGAAGAGGTGAAGGGAGGAAGTGGAAGCGAGTGGGATAAGAGGGTCATTGAAATGAAGAGAGGCAAGGGGGGGTAGACGGGCTTCAGGAGCTTGACACGTTTATTCTCCTCCGATGAACTAACTACCCCACAAGTTGTCCAAACGGTGTCTGAATTCAGCCAGTGAAGTGGCTGCTATGGCTTTGTTTGGTAGTTTGTCATTCACAACTCGAAATGGAATG